TAACCCCCGGGAAAGAGCCCCATGTACCCACTGGATAGGAGATTGGGTTGACCCCATAGCCAGTCTGGATGATGCGGAGAAGAGAAAATTCTTGACCCTACCGGGACTCAATCTCCGACCCCTCGGTTGTCCAGCCTGTAGCCAGCCACTATACCAACTACACTATCCCAGCTCCTGTGATTACCCTATAGCGTGAAAAATTATTATCTTTAGATATAATTAATTTATCCATCAGCATCTGGGGGGGCCCCTATAAATTTATGTCACTCACAGAGTGATAACAAAACCACAGGTGTCCGATGGCCATGTTTAATGTAAACTCATTTCAATATTTCCTTAGTTCACAAAGAAATAAAAAATTCAGGTTCCACTCAAGTAGGTAAATTGTATATGTAATCTGTACCACATGCACACATATATATATATATATACATATACATATTTATTTATTTATATTAAATTTTCCAGGGCCTTTTAGTACACTGCTTTGAACAGTGCTATATTTTAAAAATATTTTATCGATAATTTATATCAGGCATGTCCAGCTTCAAACAGGTTGTGATTGACTTTTTAGTGTCAAAACTACCAGTGATGTACCACCCATTCCTATTGTCGTACCTGGCTTTAATAAAAAATATTGGCAAAAATAACATGACACATGATGTCTGTTGTAAAAGCAACTAGTAACTGGGCTGTATCTCTGATGTCTGTAGATTCATCCAGTTGGAGGGAGAAAGCAACACAATTGGAAACATCTTTCAGCATAGTTCAGATTGCATAGTTACTATTCAAGATCTTCAATTATAATTGAAGATCTTGAATAGTAACTATGAACTCTTTCTTATTTTTAAATCCTTCAAAAGGATTGTCAGCTATTTCAAGAAAACACTGTTTTACAAATTCCCCTTCAGTGAAAGTTTGCATTTTTTAATGATCAGATTGATGACCTTGAAGGATGATGTGGTTGCATTGTTAGAAAGTGACCTAGGTATTGCCATTAACTGTTGTTGAGCAGCTAATTTCGATTTAAGTTTATGAATTTCACTTTTGGGTGGAAAATCAGCATCATACAAATTGCTGTGGAGAGCATAACAATGACGTTCCAGATTACCTTTTTTTGGCAAGGATACTGAGACGTTGCTTTTCCCACTGTATTGAGGTAACTGTTTTATCTGACACATGCACACAGACGCTTTCGAAATTAATAAAATAATGTGAGCAGAGCACTTACTTTCCCTTTGATTACACTGAGCTCATCCCCAAACTCTGTATTTGTTTAAAATACAACAAAGCGACAAATCTCCACTAACAGCTAATATAATAAAATGTCTCACTTGTTAGTTCAGAGTACGGGGATTCACAGTTGACTGGAGGGAGGGAATGAAGTGACTCTCACATTCTGTCGATCACTCTTGCATCAGAACACATGCGGCTGACGACAAGTGATGAAATAAGAGTTCACGTGATAAGGATAGAGTAGGAACTTCCCCACAAGTGTAAAGCAATTTTCACTAAGCTACATAAGAACAGAAAAATAGGAATGACTAATACGTGTTTTCATTTCAAAATCTGAATATAACCCTATTATATTACAAGTGAATTTACATGCTTTTCACGTATAATTTCCATATAGGACTATGAGATCAACCAAAAGTTGTCCTGCAATCGACGCGTTGGACATGCCTGATTTGTATGAACAGTTGTGGAATATAACATTATAGACGGTAAGGATCTTACATTTTCTGTTATACAAAGTGATCAGGCTGTCTCACAGCAGAGGATGTTTAAATTAGCCCTCTGCTGCATTGCTGAAGAACATTAAAATATTGTCACATGATAGAGTGACTATGGACGGGGTTTGGATTGGCAATTGGATTTATTGAACACTTACAGGTCATAACTACATGTAAGTGTAACACGTTACTAATTCACACACACACTACAGTTCACTACAGCATGTACAAATTCTTCTCAGATTGCTGTATCTTCACCGGTTGTCACTTGTGGCTTCTAAAGCCACAGCTTTCTGAGCTTCTGTATTCATCTCCTTACAGGCTGCCAACTGTCACATCTAATTAAACTGAGTCTGAGTCTGAGTCACGTTGCAACTGACGGTCAGTCAGTCTGTCTGTCTTGGTGTCGAGCCCCAACTGGGGCTCATGACCAGATATTTCTTTTTAATGAAAGTTACTGTCTTGTCCATGTGTAGCGCCCTCTGCTTATAACACCTTGGAATGGACAGCACAGAAAATACCTCTCCCAAAAGTTTTTATATTTTGTTGCATCATGTAGCTATCACACGGATCATGTAGAGAACAGTGCTTCCCAGTTACTCCATTGTTGCATGTAATGATTCCAGTGCTGCCATTACCTAGCAGCTGCCGTCCTTTCTGGGTTCACATTTCTTGCCGTTGCAAATATGCTACAATATTTAAGCTTCATAAATAGCTAGTTTACTGAAATGGCCCAAACTCTTAGGAAAATTAAGATTTCTTCCAAAATTGTACATCATATTCATTCAACCCTAGAGAATCATGTGAAGAATTTTGTGTGGTGTGGAAACATTCTTCTAGGCAGAGTCCAACATCACAGACTTGGCAGTAACACACTGCATCTCAATTCCCCCCATATTTCATACACACCATGCATCTTCTCTGGTGTCTTGCCATATTTCACATGGATGAATGTGATTTTCTTTCAGTGTTACATTGATTGTAAAGAATGCCTAGAATTAAAAGAAAATACAAAACTTACGTATCAGTTAGAAAGGTTAATCTTCATCTTCATGGGCATCTTATGGTATTTTTAAATTATGTTATAAGATGGTACAAGAAGGATTGGTATGAATCATGTGCTGTGTGTGCCAGTGCAGTGAAATACATTGATGTTGGCAACTCTCAGTGATGAGGATGGCAGGAAATGTGGAATTCTTTACTGAGCTGTACTCTTTCTTGGCCATACGAAGGAGATGGTCTGAGAGTCATTAATGTACTTAACAATGAGCACTGTGTGTGCAAACATATAATTTACCCAACTTTGAAGCTAGCTAGTCATGATAAATGCACTCCTAAACATCTGTTGCTAATGCTGCAGAGCTAATAAAGAGTGGGTATGTTAGAACAGTTCGACAGTAAATTCTCTGTTCAGGCATGCAGTACATCGGTTTGGTTAGAAGCACTGATTACCATAGAGGATAACAATTTGCATATGTCATTCTGTAATAAGACGTATGGATGGAACCATTATAGAAGATAATTAAAAAAGGATATGATATATTTGTAGGTCCATCGATACAAGATCTGATGAAGTTGATCTTTCTACACCATCAACTTTGGCCAATTACTACACAGTATGCAAGCCTGAAGAAAAGCTAGCAACTTTGGTGGGATTTTTGAGATCACAAGGAAGCCATCAGAAATTCATGCTTTTTTTCTCAACATGTGCATGTGTTGAATATTTTGCAGCTGTACTGAAAGTGTAAGTGTACTGTCAAAGGTTGAAAATTATCTTAAATTTGAAGTTAATTTTATGGTCACATTTTATGAATGAAATCTTGGGTGATTTGAACAGTTACAGTTATGTAATTTTATTGAACCCTGCATGTCTGTGATGCCCTTGCTAATTTTTTTTATCATAATGTTAAAATTATTCATGGTCTCAATTTACCTTATTGTCCTTTCCATGAATAATTTTGGTTCCTTTAAGCTATGAATACATGCTCTTTACTCATTCTCAGTGTTCGATAACAGTTGCTTGGTTGAGGCTTCCAGTTGTTGACGTTGCCCTTTCTCTGGGTTCCTGAATTTTTCTTGACATCAGATTCTAGCTTCTCACTTCTCACAACTGCAGCTATTAACTGACTGAACCAACCGCCAAGCTACTAGTCTTCATTGCATAACCCTGGCACATACTGCATAGAAAATGTCTTCCATTATTGCATGTTCTCCCATTGCTGTTGGATGTGTCCACAGAGCTGTTTCCTAGCAATGGCTGTTGTCATGTCACATGTTTACATAACTATTACATGGCAATGAGTCTACATGTCAAAATATGATAAANCACACTTCTGAGGTGTGAATGACTCATGTTCTGTTTAATGTGAGCTTTGAAATTTTGTGTGGTGATATAATTTTAAAATTACTCATTGTTTAGAGACTTCGTGTGAGGGATTGATTGTATATTGACTCTACTGAATCCTAGGTTATTATGGAGTACGTTTTCAGCACTTCATACAATGATGTTAAGTTTGAAACTGCCTTGTACGTAACCATATGATTGTCAAGTCATTGGCTCCAGTTGCTATCCTTGCTTTGTGTGCACAGATATCAGTAGCCCTTGTTTAATCCCATCACTGTTGAGTAATCAGTGCCCAACCATACCTTTGTACTGACCTTTTTTTTTTCTTTTTTCTTTTTTACAGTTTCCCTTAAATATGGAAATCAAGAGAACTGAAGTAGAAATTGAATTAATTCCTACTTTCTTTCACTTTATGTTATGAAAATAGTTTCTGAATGCCTGTGGATGCCACTTTTGCTATTCCTGTGATGGCCAAAGTCAGATGATGTAGGATAACACTCCTTGATTATGTGACATACCATATTTCAGGATATGACTCTGTAAATTTACCGTGAAATTAGGTATATGTTCCACCCTTCATTTTAACAGTTTTCTATATGGAGCTACATCTATACCTCGAGTGTGATTCGAACACACGATCCCAGTGTTTGAGCGGGCGAAGACATTTCGTTTCATACTAAAACTAATCGTGGAACACATAGCTAATTTTGTAACTTTTTTGGAGTGTCATATCATGAAATGTAATTTATCCTGAAAATTGTAGGTTTACACTGTTCTGCAGGATATCCTTATTCCTAGATGCAGCAGAATTTAAGTTTTTCGAGAGGCAGCAGATAGGTCAGGCTTTAAGTTCATAATGTCTTTGATAGATGGTAGTATAGTTCCAGCAGATTTGAACATATTCTGAATGTTTGTCTTGAAGATACTTGTTTCTAAATGTCACATGTATAATGATGTGGGTGCAGCATGGTTGCCCTACTCCAGATGCTCATAACATTATAGGCTCTGCTATGTAACAATTAATGATTTTTACAATTTGAACACACAACAGCCTTACAGATGAGATTACACATACCTTCCTTAGAAAGAAGTTTAATAATAAAATGTTATTTTGCTGAATGAGAAGTACATGCAGACACCATTTTGTTGATTACTGGATTTGGGTGCTGTTTCAGGTCAAATTTAAATACCCCTCATATTAGTTAATTTGTTCATTTGTGAGTACATTTGAATAGTAATTCCGTCTTTGGTTTTCAGATTATTGGCTGAATTTCAGGTGTTTGCTATTCATGGAAGGATGAAAGGAACACGCTGCAAGGATTTTGATTCCTTTCAAAAGGCCAAATCAGGTAAATGAAATACTGTATTGTTATTCTAAATGTACTATAGAGAAGACAGTGTTAATACAGGAATTATATTAATTGTATCAGTCACAGGATCAAATCCCGATTGACCCTATCCTTCCAGCCATACTATGTCCGTGGAGTCGACTCAGCCTCTAACAGAAATGAGTACCAGGAATATTCTTCGGGGGGGGGGGGTAAAGGGGGGGG